TTTATTTCTGTGAAACATGACACCAGTATGCAATACATTATATCACGAGCTAGCCAAAAACTACTATTTTCTACCTAAAGTGCACTTTTAAAAGCAGTGTCGCAAATAACACAATGAAGATTAAGAGCGCAGGAGTGACGAACAACGATTAACATCTAATTTTTTTTTTTTGAGTAACACTTAAAGAAGCTTAATCATTTTTGTTTAGAAATGTACTTAAAAGGAATGCCGTTTTATCTTTATCTGGACGTGGCCTGGTGGTGAATCCACGGTTTTAACTTTTACGTCCTGTTCCCCAAATAATCGCTTTGTATTTCAAGGCTGTTTATGCGTTATAAGAGTAACAGTCACATTCTACTCTTCCTGCAGACAAGAGTAGACCAAGAGCTGTCGATGAATAATTTTGAGTAGCTGCCTTCACTCTAGTTCATCAGTTGAAAATTAGAGACAGTTTCGAAACAAGCGGTTTATTAAGATCAAAGTTAACTAGTTAAAAGAAGAATTTAAATAGTCAAACCTTCGAAATCTTATTTTGGCTTCACAGTTACTTAAATTTCGTTTTTGAGTGAGATTGTACTATGTTTTGTGTAAAATTAACTTCTAACATTTTATAACATATTCCCAACTTACCTCATGTTTCCGATTGTTAAAAGTCTTTAGAATCGCTTCAGTATAAGTTCTTCTTATTTTTAAAGTTAATAGAGCAAAAACACTTCTATAAGCATATACGTACATTTATAAAGTGTGAAAGTTGGGCTGTATATTGTTTTAATCTTTTAAAAAACATATTTTCAAGCAATATCATCCATCTAAATAGCTCTCTATATATTTTTTATGGTGGACAGAGAGATCAACTCGCAATCTGAGGATCACTGGGTCGAAACCCGGCGCCGAACATTCTTGCTCTTTCAGCTGTTGCGCGTTATAATGTGATGATCAATCTCACTATTCCCAATAGTTGGCGGTGGCTGCTACCGGACGGTGTTCTTCCCTGTGGTTTGCACTTCAAAATTAAAGACAGCTGCAAATAACATTAGTGGCTTTGCCATAAACAAGAGAAACAAACTTTTTATTTAATACCACCACCAAAAAAACAAAAAAAAACATAGATGAAGCCATTTCTAAAGTATCAGTCTACATACCTCATGAAACAATTCTACAGTATTATATTGCACGGATTTCAAATGCCAAATCAGCACTTCATATCAGGGATTTATAAACTATAAGATGGAAGTATTCTTTGTACGTAATGACAAATGAAAACAAAGGAATATGGATCAACTTGAGGTACCCAGATCATTCAAAAAGGGATCTGCAACAAGCCGTACCCTGGCCATGGTGAGCAAAGTCTGGCGTCTAGTAACGGCTGAGAATCTGTGAACACAAAAGTCTTTGACAAAATAATTCCATACGACACAGGCAACAATATGTAACACAATAAAACAGAATCTCCATATGGAAACGAAGCTAAAAGGGTGTTGGTTTACTATGATAAGACTTTCTGTTCAATCGTCGCATATCTAAAGCAGCTGTATAAAGAAACAGGTATTCATGCTATTCCATACAAAGACATATCGGTCAAGTTGGAGGACGCAGCGCCTGTGGATTTCTATGGAATTGGACTGTTGAAACACACTGGGAAACAATATCCTCTCACATTAGATGAATTATAGAAAGTCTACAAGGAGGAGTAGGGTGCTTTATACATGAAAGCCTAGCTGGAACGTCTTTCTACTGTGGAAACTACGTTGCGGAACTTTTGTCAAGATGCACTGTCGTCAGATAGAACATGACCGTAACGATATGGCGAGACTCTAACTTCGTTTTAATATAACGTGCAACTCTCTGTATTTGATACAACGCAAGGATAAATTAGCAACAACAATAACATGTTAATTGTATTACTTAATTTTTTTCAGTTCGTTGTGTATGAAATTTACATTAAATCGGTTTTATCTTATCCCGATCAATGTAAAAAGATATATTTTCAAGAAACATAGAAGAAACCATGAAAATCAGTATATTATATATTATGCTTCGTATGAAATTGAAAAAAAATCCGAGTTTTTCCTTACAGTACCTTGCAAAATTGTTCACCCCTCTGCAAAGTTTTCACATTTTGTTGCCGTCTGAGCTTGCAATCACGAAACTTTCAAATGGGCCTTTATACTTAGAATCTACACAAGTTACTCCAAACTGAGAAAGCTAAACATATTCTGATATTATC